TACTTCTGTCTTTGCAATAATGTAACAAAAATGGAAATAAAACAAACAAGAAATCACATACCTTGTGTCATCTTTGCCTTAAGAGTACCATGTCAATAAATATGTGGAAACGTTTCTTTCCAATATTATACTCCAGTTATGCAACTAAAGAAATATGCCTAGCAAGTGAGTGATTTTCTTGGGCTTATGAATATAACAGACGCATGAAAAGGCTTTTAAAATGTACCGCATGCAATTATCAATGTATTGATAATTTTATATGGAAAATATAAATATGGAAATACATATTTCCTTTACAATATTATTATAACATGATCAGAACATTTATGGTAAATGGAAACGTAACAGCCAAAAAAAAAAAAAACGTATGCGAAACTAATCTATTGACTATACTTATTCCATAGATTTTTATTTGATTCAAGCATTAATAAAAATTATATCAATATATATAGCAAGAACCAAAAAAAGTATCTCAAACTCGGTCAACTTCGTAACATCTGCGTTGTTTCTGTAAAAAAAGAAAAATAGCACCAAGTTATACAGTAATATAGTAAAAAAAAAAAAAACTTTAATACTAATAAAAATAATTGTTAATAAACTAATGTTACAGTAATTTAAATGACAAATTGGCTGGTTTTTCCAGATACAATGTAAATTTAAAAAAAAAAAATAATAATAATATATAACATCATATCATATTTTAGTATTTATTTTATTTGCTGTATTTGTTATGTAGTAGAAAGCGTAGGATTCATAAAACGAAAATAAAAACAATAACAAACTTTAATACTAATAAAAATAATTGTATAAACTAATGTTACAGTAATTTAAATGACAAATTGGCTGTTTTTTTTCCAGATACAATGTAAATAACAATAATAATATAATAATAATAATAATAATATATAACATCATATCATATTTTAGTATTTATTTTATTTACTGTATTTGTTATGCAGTAGAAAGCGTAGGATTCATAACAAAACGAAAATAAAAACCGTCCGATTTAAATATTAATTTATAGTTTAGTAATAATAGTATTAATTTTATTTGCTTTTAAGTAGCCTGTT